AAAAAAAAGGAAAAATTGAATTTAAACTTTACAAAGGTCATCTCGTATTTCTTCTACAATTTAAACAATCTACACCCCATCGCCCTCCATTTTCCCAACGAAATTACCTCTCGGAAAGTGGACAGAGGTTCCTCACCCCGTATCCACCAGAGTAATAACTTTCAAATTACCTCGGAGACCGTGTCAAGACGTACGGGAAGGATCACTCGAGAACAGGGAGTTCGAGACTAAATTATAAGAAAAGAAGCTACAGAGGCGAAAGCAGCGAGGTCAAGATCCTCTTGGAATTGTATCGAGATGGAAACGAGGTTTCCGTCCCCGGTGATAGAAGCATGGAAGCAGGGTCAAGCCTTTCATATATAAGTTGACTTTACGCTCGAAAGAAACGAGATCGAGAATAGATAGATAGCTCGTGGAAAAAAAAAGAAAAGAAAATTAAGGATCGGGTCAAGACGGAGTAATGACTCGTACGATGATAAAGATCGCGACGAGGAAAACTCGGCGAATCGAGACCGGGTCGAGGCGTCTCTTTTAACGTGGGATCGATTGGCTCTCCAGTGTAGTATGTATGTGTTTCCCTGTCGGAGAAAGTTCTGTGAACCGTTGAATTTAATTAATTTATCGCCTCGCTTTGAGCATGACAAACTTGTATCGAGAATATGAGAACTTCTGCGTCGACATCCTCTTTTTCGTCGTAATGTTATCTGATGGTTCAGATATTGAATTAATTCCTTCGCAGAGCATTTTCTGTCAGGGGCTGCGTTTCAAGTGGAGATTTAATTGCGAGGAATTTTTCTTTGTGGCGTGTATTGATGATAGAAGTATACTTTCTAATATTATTACGAAGTATAATATATACTTTGTAATTTATTTATTTGTTAGTTGATGGACATTACTTTTGTGGAAAGAATTAAGAAAACGAATTAATTCCATTCTTCCTTCGAACTTCTTTCATTTCCTTCTAATTTATTCATTGTTTGATGAACATTATTTTAAGAACACGAATTCCATTCTTCTTTTCTCATGTTAGAGGCTTTTCTTAAATGAAGATTTCGTAGAAAAAAAATTTTGTCTTTGTAGTGTAATGATTGATAATAAAAGTTACTCGTACTTCAAAATAAACTAATCCATCAAAATAGTCATAGATCCACGCTGAAAAAAGAGACACGACAATTTTCATTCCTCGACAATCTTTCATTCTTTCGAGTTTTTAATTGAATAACAAAAAACTATTTATCAAGGTTCTTAAAGAAGAAGAAAAAGAACAAATCACATATGTACCTACAATGATCCTTAATATTCTGTTCCTAAATTCACCAGTGATTCATAAAAAGAATTCTAAAATAATACAAATTATAAAAAACAGAGATTTCTAAAAAGAAAAAAAAAAGAAAAAAAGGAGAGAGCTACAAAAATCAGACTGAATAGCCTCTCCTCTAACTACAATCTCTTCGCGAGAACCGCTCGGAATCGATGTTCCCATGTCGAAAAAAGACATGGCTCCAGCATCCAGCCGCTATCTGGTAATTTCCTCCTACAGTCTAGCGGTATTTTTTTTCCACTCTATTTTTCGCCGGATAGCGGGAAAGCGCGAGGGTTTGGCGCGCAGCGGTATAATCAGCGGGGGTGGAACGGCAGCGAACGAGCCGTGCCATTGTGGTAGCATTGTTTTCC